CTCCCTCCCCCGAATTCAGTGTTTTTTCCATTTTTTTATAACTGGTCCCAAATATGTTGAAATTGAATACAAACATACCCTAAAGCACATCCATATGACATAAAGAGAAAAAAAAAAATCAGGGAAATATAACAATTTCGGTGAAAAACTTGCCGAAAATGATACAAGCTATTAACCATTACTGGATGGTCAACTAGTAAACAAAACTACCAGGACGTGAGGCAAGGGAAAAACAACTGACAAGCCTATTCATAAACTTAAAGAAAGCCTATAACAATGTCATGGTGGATACGATCTTTATGGATGTCTGACTGATGAAAATGATTTTTTGGGCATATTTTAAATCGTGGGTACACACAAATTTGTAACTACTAATATCATGACGAATAACCACCTTCCACTTCTCCCTAGCACTCATTACAATCCCTGCAACGAGCCCAACAACACGTAGGCCGACCTACCACATATGCCTCCTCTAGAACTGCCCGAGTCTCCTCCATGCGATGGATATACCTACCACTTACAACCAAATACTCTCCCTTCCCTTCCTTTCTCTACATTCCTTGTCCCTTCCTCGACCCATCCCAACCTGACTGACATTCTCATTTGTTCCTTCCTTTCTACCCCTCGCAACTGCCCCGCTTGCCCTCTCTGCCCTCTCCCCCTTTAAACCACCACTCCCTCCGCCACCAGGAAATAACCCTCCGATGAGCTCGGGTGGGTTTTGAGGGAGGGCGGCAACCGGAGGCTGAAACGGCAGGCCTAGTCCGATAATTTCAACGCGGCAACTTCAACGATTTTTCGCACTCAGAATAATTCATAGAAAATTCTGAAAATGTGAGCATCGGTAGATGAGGTAACAAAACAAACACACAAACAAACAATTTTGACCGTGAAAGAATCGCCGCGCAGATTCGGTGCATGTTCCAATTTTACCACTGTGCCATTTGTGGGCCAACGGGAAAAGTACTTCAACTTCTGCGATTTTTCCCGCTACAAAGAAAGCGTCAAAGACTGTGAAATCCTCACCTTCACCGCCTCTCCTTCGGTCGTTCCTTTTACTTCCTCGCCATCACCAACCTGGTCAATGCCCGCTGGCCTTCAAGTTTACCAACGCTCCCAACTTCAGGCCACTCGAAAGGCAAAGAGAGTCTACTCCGATACCACTGCAATGAGACAGCTGTGCATTAAGCACTCGGACAACAATCTCATATCACACCACACTCACGTGCAACGGACAGCGTCCAAGAGAGCCTCGATAGTCGACACAAACTTGATTGTCTTGTCCGTGACCAGCAGCTATGGCCGTTCAACTCAGCATGCAGGTACATGTCCTTCTTCCTCTCCCTCTCTCTCACTGCTCCCTCTCTCATAGGCCTCACTTGTCTCTTAAAATGTCTCTCTCTCTCTCTCTCTCTCTCTCTCTCTCTCTCTCTCTCTCTCTCTCTCTCACACACACACNTCACTGCTCCCTCTCTCATAGGCCTCACTTGTCTCTTAAAATGTCTCTCTCTCTCTCTCTCTCTCTCTCTCTCTCTCTCTCTCTCTCTCTCTCTCACACACACACACACACACACACACACACACACACATATGATACAGCTATGGCTATGGCGCCCAACGCTGTTGATTACACTGTTCTACGCTCACTCTCACTCGCTCAGCCGCCTCTCCAAAGGCCGCAGCAGCGTTTCTGCGTTGATTGTGAAGCCATATTGTGTTGATATTTAAGTGCTGCTGGACTTTTATACTTGCCGATCTTCCAGACCCTTTTTGGTGGTTAGGGGTTAGTCCCCTTGCCTTGGTTTTACGGATTCTCCTTGGATCTGGCTGCTTGGACCGACCGACACTTGGCCTACCAACTCTTGTCATCTTAGCTGAATGAAGATTGTGGTGCCTTCTAAAAATAGACTCTTCAGCCCATAACTATTACATATCACAGCGTTCCCCACAAAATACTCAAACCTGCATAGGCCTCTGCAATCATGGTACAAATGAGCATTACTATTCGTGAATATTGCACAAGTGGTTGGAACCACTAATGGAACACCGAATGGAACTTGGGACTAGAATCTGGGACTCAGGACTGGGACCTGGGATGGGACTTGGGACTGAACCAGGGGTACTGAGATTTGTGAATCCTTTCATTGGTTTGATATTACGAAGAAAGCTACCTATGGCAGGGTCTTCCATCTGACTCTCACCAAGTGATGAAGGGTGGTAAAAGCCGAATAACAGCAGAATTCCTGAGAAGCGCGAATGCCAGGGGCCTCTCATGTGGGAGGACAACCATTCGGGTCAGTGCGGAGACTATGCTAATAGATAAGGTTCACAGAGATACCAGGGGGTTCGCATTCATAGCCAGCAAACTATTGCTCTCCGAAATACTATGGGTTCGCTTGCTCCCCGTATGGGCTGGGGCCCATTTCAACAGAAGAGGGAAGCTTTCAAGTGGTCTCCCCTGTCCTGCAGCTGATTGACTATTCCCCAAAGCCCATTCGGAAATAAACATGATGGCAGCGGTGATTGACCGTGAGGAGGACGGTGATGAGGAGTCCGTAGAATATGCGGACAAGGGGAAGGAGGAATAGGAGGAGGAGGAAGCGATGATGAACTGGAAACTGGCATTGAAACTATCAGCAAAACTCATAAGAAATGAGCGCCAGCCCACACACTAAAGGCAGGGCATACTCAAAGCCATGCTAATGTCACATTAGGGCAGTCGTCTTGCTCGTATCACCTTGCCTAGTGACGCTGGACTGGCTTTGTTGTTACAAAAAAAAAAAAAAGGGCAGTCATCTTGCTCATGGTATCATATGTCTGCTTTTCTTGGAACTCGGGTCCCATTGGGTCTCGTTAAAAACGAAAACTGGGTAAGGCTCCCAGGTACTCACTTAACCGGATAGACTGTGAGGACCCCGGCCTCGATCGTATACTTCCCATTTAAACCACCACTCCCCCCGACACCAAAAAATTGGCTTTCCGGGACCATCGGAGGCTGGTAGCCCAGAAGGAGCGGAGGTCGGCGGCAGTTCGAGCAGAGGTCTGCCTTAAAAAAAAAAAAAAAAAAGCACAAACTTTGACAATTTTTCACGCTCAGAATAATAAACCAAAACATCTGAACTTCTGGGATCCGGTAGATTTGGTCGTGATCTATTCAGGAAAATTATTAAAAAATTGAAGAAAAAAAAATTGGACGGTGAAATACTCCCCGCACCTATTCAGTGCATTTTCCATTCTTGCCACTCTGCCACCTGCGGGCCAACGGAAAAGTACTTCGTTCTTGCCACTCTGGCACCTACGGACCACTCTACCGGTTCTCCACACTATGGAACCGGTAGCCCTCGTTAACTTGGGCTACAGGTCCCCCAATTTTTTTTGTCGCGGGCAGAGTGGTGGTTTAAAAAAAAACAAAAAAAGAAGGGCTTACCTGTGAGGGTTAACTCTCCCAGGTACTCACTTAACTGGGTCATCAATTCTGTCCCACCATCGCCCCGTCAGTATTGAAGCGGGACACTGCAGAAATATGTGTCTGTGTTCTATGGTCTCCGCTTTCTTGTGGGGAGGATAATTCTGCAGGCATCGTTGCCCCTCTGCTCAAGGCGGCTGTGATCGACTATCCAGTCGTTTGTGCGAAGGCAGCAATGGGCTATCTGCCACTCCAGGGAGGTGATCTTGGCAGGCTTGCATTTTGCCTCCTGAAGCCATCTGATTGGCTGGAGGAGGCGATGATCCACAATAAGCTGCCACTGCCACCTGTCGCTGACCACATCTCGCTGGTTCTTTTTGAATCTCGGCATCCTGTATGCCGCCTTTACTGTGAGCTTCGTCAATGATACAGGGTTCTGATTGTGCATCCTTGCCATGGGAAGCAGCTCCGTTATCGGCGTGTGCGGGTGGAAGGCCCTACCCTCCTCCCCCTCTTCTATGATTCTAATCTGGAAGACTCAGTCTTTGTCCAGCCGCATACAGGGGTCTCAACCTCCAGCCGCATAAAGGGGTCTCAACTTCCGACTAGGTGGGCCCGGGGAGATGGGCTGTAGTGCACTCTACTAATACATAATTTGTTCATACCATATGGACCAGACTCACCGTGGGGGCACCTTCCTTCTGTGCTATCCAATCCCCTTCCTTGAGGATGGCCCCCCTGCACAGAATGGGGTACCATGCTACGGGTAGGGCCTCCGACACCTCTTCCAGAGTTTTCTCAACGTGGTGGCCGTAGCACAGCCAGGCACCAAGCTGCTCCGGTGTTTTCTAATCTGATGAACCCTGGTCCCACGGGTTCCCCACACGCAAGATCCCCTGTTTGACCCACCCCTTCTATTTTTTTGTTCTTTTTCGACCCGTCCGGGCAAGTGATCCCAGGCCACTCTGGTAACCTAGCTCATAATAGTACTGACAATCTGCAACATTCAAAATAAACAACAGTCCGTGTGTGTGTGTGTGTGTGTGTGTGTGTGTGTGTGTGTGTGTGTACAGATCGTGTGTGTGTGTGTGTGTGTGTGTGTGTGTGTGTGTGTGTGTGTGTGTGTGTGTGTGCGTGTGTGTTGTCATATCCGGTATACTCTCACAAAAAGCATGACTGTGCCAGACTGTGTGTGTGTGTGTGTGTGTGTGTGTGTGTGTGTGTGTGTGTGTGTGTACAGATCGACCTATCTATCGGTGTAAGTATCCGATGCACCAGGTCTTTCCCTTTACGGTCTGTTCCCAACTCTAGCGCAGCAATGCCTTTTTGGGGGTGGAGTTGGTGTTTATAGCAAACATGATGACACACAACACACACACACACACACACACGCACACACACACACACACACACACACGCACACACACACACACACACACACATGTACCAATGCAGTTTCACTCGCTGCTGTGTTTGGGAATATTGTGGCCAGTTCGTCCCACCACTCCTCATGACCTGAACCATAGTGGAATGCCTTCACGATCACCTCTTCGCCTCTCCTACATCAAAACTGCTGCTCCGAAGAAGAGTAAATATCCACTTTTCTTCATTGTCCTTTCCTGATGCTGTTTTTTTTTTTTTTTTTTTTTTAATCCCAAACAAAGAGCCCCATCTATTCTGGGAGGCCTGCTGCTTATTTTCATGCCCACCCTTCCACCAACTTCACCATCTTCATCTGTATGTTTGGACCTTTGAGTTCAAATAATATTTGAAAGTCGCAATCTTTCCAAACCCTCCTCTCTCTACCAATGTTTGGGCCAAACAATCCCAATCGTACCCCCTCCACATCTTCCAATCCGTGATGACATTGGTTCAAAACCCCTCCTCCTTCCTTGCAGTCGGTCAAATAAATCTCTCGTCTCCATCCCTTTAAACAACAGATGCCAATCACTGGTTCCAGAACACAAGTGCTGTCATCGACCACGAAAACCACACTTCAGACGACAGGGATGGCTCCCAAGCCTGCACTGCTGATTGTCCCCATACGACAAGGGCCCATCACACACCCACTACCTTGCAAACCACGCATTGGCGCCATAACTTTGCATCAACCGACAGGTGTGTCCGTTGTTGGACTCCACTGACACATCTGTCGATTCATCCACAACTCCTTTCTGCCTGCCGATCCGACCACAACTCCTTTCTGCCATTCCTTTCTGCCGTCATAACCAGTTTGCAAACGACTGTCCCCTCACAACTCCACATCTGGAGGGGACTATTGTCGGCAAGAAGGGTGTAGACGATGATGACAGTCGCTAGGGCTTCACCTCCTCTGATACAACTCCACATCCACCCTTTACTAAGCCCGCCGGGCCGGGGCGGGCTCATCTTGTCTAAGACTAGAGCAAATAAATAACAGAACGAAAACATGCTACGTTGGAGAACAAAATCCTTCTCACCAGGAAAGCATTTATGGCAAAGGAACTGCAGTGTCGTCAAGTCTCTCTGTCTGTGACTGTATGTGAGTTGTAAAACAATGCCCTCCTCTGTGTGTGTGTGTGTGTGTGTGTGTGTGTGTGTGTGTGTGTGTGTGTGTGTGTGTGTGTGTGTGTGTGTGTGTGTGTGTGTGTTTCAAAGATCCCCCAATTCTCTCTCTCTCATTGGAAGCACACAAATCATCACAAACCATGTAATTGTGTGTGTGCGTGCGTGTGCGTGTGTCTCTGATGCCTGTCGTGTCTCTCTGATGCTTGTGCATGTGTCTCTCGGAGACAAAAGAAAAGAGAGAACTGATGAAAAGGAAGGAGAGGACGGGGTAAGGGGCGCCGCAGCGGTAGGAGGACATGGGCCGAGCCCAGGGTTATTGCTATTGAATCCCTGCCCATCGTGCAAGATCAACAAACTGCATGCCCCCATAGATGTTGTTTGCGAAACGAATCCCTACAGTGAAAGCCATTGCCACTTGCGGCACGTGCTTAGCAATCACCGAGGCCTCCACAACCCGCTCCATGCCATTAATCATTTGATACCGCAAATTGGAGGACACTCCCATGAAGAGTGCCCAGCAGGCTGCAGTCTTCAGCAGAGGTGGAATGGGGACATCGGCAACCTCATTGCCCCCCTTGTTCAATCTCCTCTTGAAACTCATGAGGCTGTTGGCCATGCCCTGTCCCACAAGGCCGCACAAGAACCCTGCTAGTCCGTACTGTGCACCCTTGACAAAGAGGGTGGCCAACCTCTGATTGACCGTAAACGAGCGACCAGGACTGGCAGCTTCAAACACGCTGTTGGGAAGTTGGGTCAAGATCCGAGAGAGGGTCCCCTGCAATCCCTTAGTATGCTTGACTGCCCCCCCGAAAGTGACAATGGGGGCAAGCATGCCCACGAGGGCGACATCCAGAACGATCCCCACAAACAGATCAGATAAATAGAACTCAAACTCGTTCCAAAACTCTGTGCCGCGCTTGTTTACTTCGGCAAACGTCGCACAGCCAGAGTCAATACTAATCTCTGTGAGCACTTTGAAAAGAAAGGTGGGATCCGCGATCATACGCTCCCGAAGGAGGCCACTTGATCGAACAGCTGGACCCAGAGGCCAAGGACGCCCCTGCAGATCGATGTAGCGCGAGAGGAGGACTGCAGGGATGCCTCTCTGGACCGCAGCTGTGGCCATGTCGTCAGGAAGATCGACGCCTTGAACGGCGACAATGCTCCGCACTTCCGTGGCAGAGAGGACAGGGCCGAACTCATCATCTCCTCCGCCGCCGTCCGCTCTTCCGCGACCAGGGGAATCATGGTCGCCGCGACCTCCGCCGCCACCACCTCCCCATGGCGATCCTCCTCCGCGCTCTCCTCCCCCTGTCCCTCCCCCTCCCTCTCCACCTCCCACAGTAGTGGCCTCATCCTCATCACTGCCTCTGTCAGCATCGCCTACACCCTTCTTGCCAACAATAGACCCCTCTCGATCAATTTGACTTCCGTCCGCCGTTTGCGACCTGGCAAGAATGTCCACATCGGCCTCATCCACCGAAACAGCGTTGTCGCACATGCAAATGACGGCACGGTGGCGAGCACCACGCGTGCCGCACTGAGAGACCAGATCAGGCGACAAGCTTTTGCCCACCGGATTTTCAAAATACGAGGTGTCCACTACCGGTACGGTTGTACTACCCAACCTTGCACAACGATAACGTCCTTTCCCCCCCCCCTCCTCTTGTGCCAACGCTGCTGCCACCGGCTGGCGACACCGAGACCCCTTCGCCGGCATCACCATCCTCGCCCATTCGTCAGGTAAAGCCCCCCCTTGCCTGGAGATGACACACGTGCGCATTGGGATTGGGTCCGACGACCGCAGCCTTCCTCCGCCGCAATCACCATCCGACCTGTTGGTCTTGAGGCGAACATTGTAAGCCGATCCAGCTTCCATCGACCCAGACCCATCTCCGTAAACGGCATGGGGCCTCAATAATAAACCCCTGATCGTCCCTGCTTCCAACCCAGCAGGCCCCAACCACGTGCTTACCGCCGTCATCGCTGTCCGTCTGGGTCCGTGCAGTAAAAAAAAAAAACTCGTTCGCTTCTTATAAATGACAAAATTCCTCACCCGACGCCGCAGCAAAGCAGCATGCCACGTGGCCCTGGAACGGGACAAAGTGCCGCCGCCGAGGCCACCCTCAGCATGCCACGTGGCTTTTCATGCCGCAGCGAAGCAGCATGCCGCGTGGCCTTGCCACAGGACAAAGTGCCGCCGCCCTCCGCATGCCACGTGGCCCACGCCGCAGCAAAGCAGCATGCCACGTGGCCCTGCCACAAAGCGTCGTCGCCCTTAGCATGCCACGTGACCCACGTGGCAGCAAAGCAGCATGCCACGTGGCCCTGCCACGTGTACTAAGTGCAACGCAGAGGGCCAGAGAAAAACCCGTGCAACGGATGCCGCAAGCGTCGCCGCACGGAGGAAGCACCACGTGGCAGCGCAGTCGACAATCCGACAATCACGCGATGACCCAGCAGATCACAACCCGTCAGACGAGCACCAGCAATCAATCAATGACACCTTTGCGTCGTCGTCGGCGTTCAGTGCCCACGCAATGCAGCAAATAAATCAACAGTGCACTCCATCACATACTACGTAATAACAACAAGTAATTAAACTTACCAATCAGTCGGTAGTGATTCCCTCGATCTACCGATCATCAGTCAATGGTTACGATAAACCACCCGACCCAGAAAACGACCAAGCAGCGAGCGATCGAGAGTCCGAGAGAGAGAAAAGGGGTGGAAACATGGGGGATAATGAAGACTAGAATGCGGCTGAAAGGTCCTATCAGTTTCAGCCGCATTCTCGTCTTCATCATCCGCCATGTTCCCATCTCTTCTCTCTCTCTCTCTCTCTCTCTCTCTCTCTCTCTCTCTCTCTCTCTCTCTCTCTCTCTCTCTCTCTCTCTCTCTCTCTCTCTCCCCCGGTGTGTTTGGGCCCATA